CCACCAACAGACCAGGAAGCATTCCTGCTCCTGACAAAGCCTGGAGAGAAGTTCCAACAAAGAAAACAAAGGTTGTAGGAGTGAGGCCTGAGGATGTTGTGAAATGAAACTCCCTCTGGTGGAAGTGACTCTGCTGGTGTGAACCAGCCAAGGCTGAAAGCAAAGGCAGGTGGGCTCAGCTCCCCCAACCTCCTGTCTGGCACCCCCCTGTGCCCCAGCTCAGTCCGTGTGCACAGACAGAACCCACATCCCCATGGAACAAAGATGCTGGTAAGTGGATCCAGGCCCCCTGCAGACTGGTGATCTCCTCCCACTGCACAATGCCCCATCCAAGGCAGGCTCAGATTTACCCCCCAGGTTTTCCAGCTGGGGTTTCCAAGGCTGCTGGTCAGGCTTTGGACCCACCTTCCCCCTGCAAGGCTGAGGCTTGGTCACCTCCTGGAGCTTGGACAGGACAGTTCTGAGGCACAGCTGGGTGTCAATGCCATCAGGATCCCTGCTTTGTGCTGTATCCTGCAGCATCTCAACCGCAGAATCACCTTACAGGTTCTGCAAGGACCAGCCAAAACTCATCCCCATCTTTTTAGGAAGAAAATTCACTGGTGAAACACTCTGTTTTGTACTGTAGGTACAACACAGTCTTTGCAAACGTCAAGCCAAGGCCCAGGATTGCTCTGTGAGAGCCCTGAAGTGCAGCAGGACAGCACATTCCCACTCATCCCTACAGGTACCTTCTGAGGGATGACCCACATAGAGCACTGCAGGCACTCCCTCTGCAGAGCTGTCAGCACCTGTGGGCATGTGCAGGGAGCAGAGAGAGACACGTGTTTGCAGATTTGCATCCTCACCCCTGCTGAGAAAGGCAGAACAAAGAAGGCTTTTTTGTTTGGAAACATCTGGGCTACAGCTCAAACCCACCAGAGGTGTAAGTTCTATTTGGAGTGTTTCTTAGACTCCAGTAAATCACTGACTCAGGGCTTAACATCACTTGAAACCTGGAGGGGCACAAGAATTCACAGATCAGCGGCTCAGACGAGACATCAGCCATAAACTGTTTGAAGAGCCGCTACTGAACCAAGACACTCGCAGAAAACATCTCTGAAGATTCACAGTCAAGCTGCCCAAGCTGCCCATGTGGTAGGGGAAATGTCAAGCAAATGATCAGAAAGTTTTTATCACCATGACAGGATACAATGTTTTTGGAAGAGAAACCTGTGTTCTGAAGAAAAAGAAAAGGAAACAACGTGGAACCAAACACAGCAGCTGCAACAACAGCCACCAGCACAGGGTGAGGGATGGGACAGGTGCCCTCAAAGTGTTTGGTTATCTCCTGTTCCCTGCTAGGGTGGTACCTCCACTGCAGAGCCAGCACAGAGCACAGGTTCTCCTCTGTCCATTCCTGAAAAACCCCAAAGGAAAGGGAGGATCTGGATGCACTGGGAGCAAGTGTCCTGTATCCTGTGCCTGCTCAGGCCCCACACAGGACAAGCACTACACCTGGGAAACCAAAATGCAAGTCAAGCCCATGCATTTCTGTAAAAGCAGTCAGATCTGATCAGTCCAAACAGCTCTGGTGAAGATGTAAGAGATCTGAGAAATGCAGATTTTCAAAGTCCAAGAACATCTCAGTAACAAAGCAGCACCAGGAACAGACCTCAACACTTCAGGGCAGCCAGGGAAGGCCACCCTGATCAATACTCATTGATCAGATGAGACAAAGCAGCAATTAGGATGGAGCACCAAGAGCCCGTTCACAGCAGAACACGAACAGCAGACAATTGTGAGACTGTGTCACTGCATAAGCAACGATTCCTTCTTTTCAGCCAGTCAAGAGAATCATCAAATGCTTGGTACATCAGTTTTTAGAGTTGGATAATCAAGTTATGCCTGTTTGCTAAAAGACACACGTTTGTTGGTTTTCAAGAAGGACACATGGTCCCTTCTGAAGGACGGATCTGCTCGGCAGTCACAGCCGAGACTGTGGGAGGAAGGTGCCCGGGGCACGGCCCTGCCCAAGGGGGCACAGGGGACACGGGGTGTGCCCGGTGAGGAGGGACCAGGGCACAGTGACAGGGGGGCCCTGAGCCGGGCTGTGCAAGCACACTGTAACGCCTAACGCGGGGGGTGAGCTTCCTATAAAGTTCATTCATGCTTAACAACACCAGGCCGGGAGCAAAACGAGAAAACGCCCAGGCTGAGGCCGTGAGGGAACACCACCCGCCCGCCCGCCAGGCCGCGACCCCGCCGAGGGGCCGCCTCACGGGGCCGGGGCCGCCTGGCGGCGCTTAGCCCACGCCCCCCGGCCGCTCCGGGGCTGCCCGGTGCCCGTCCCCGCTCACCACGAAGGTCGCCTCTGGGATGCCGAGCGGGCCTCGCCGCCCGCCCTGCGCCGCCGCCCCGCCGCCTCCGGCCGCCGCCATCTTGGGAACCGCCGGCACGCGGCGGGCACAACGTCACCGCGTCGGCGTCGCACGCGCGGCCTCGCCATTGGCTGCCGGGCTCCGATGGGCGCGCGGCGTCGGCGCGCGGGGTGGGCGGGGCCGAGTCCCGCAAAGGGCGGCGTCCATTGGGCGGCTGGGACAGGGGGCGGGGCCGGGGGGCTCGGGAGAGGGAGGAGGAGGAGGAGATGGAGGGAAACAACACAACGAACTGTTAACTAGCCCAAGCTCACAACTGAGACCTCTGCAACCTCCCGAAACAAAAATACAACTATTAAAAACACTAGTCATTAAGGCCGCTGCTTTTTGGTACTGAGACTTCGTACAGGGTAACAGGCAGAGCTACCAAAACAACCCTTACACTTCCTCTGCTATCGTGACTTTCAGGTACGAAAACGGTGAGAAAGCCAAATATTTAACTGGGTGTTGGTTAAGGTACCTCAGGACAGAGCCTGAGGTTACCCCTGTGCAGGTCTATTCATTAGGTGTCCACACTTTGCACTAGACGAGGTTGCCTGGAGCCCCAACCTGGCCTTGGACACTTCCAGGGATGGGGATCCACAGCCGCTCTGGGCAACCTGTGCCAGTTCTTCACCACCCCCACAGGAAGAGTTTCTTCCCAATATCTAATCTAACTCTGCCCTCTGTCAGTTTAAGGCCATTCTGCCCTGTCCCACTGCTCCAGGCCCTTGTCCCAAGGCCCTTTTCAGCTCTCCCTGTAGGCAACGGAAGGGGCTCTAAGTTCTTCCTGGAGCCTTCTCTTCTGCAAAGTGAACGCAGAGTGACGAGGCAATCAAGCACCATCATTCAGCCATTATCAGCATTAAAGAAAGCCTTAAGAGCTCAAACACATGAAAAAAATATTCACATACACGCATCTTGCATGTGCCAAAGTTTATTTTTTTCCAAAACTTGTTTCATCAAATAATTGGATATGAGCAGTTTTTAAAAAACAAACAGTTTGCGTATTAACAAATTGTGAAGTTCCACAATTAAAATATCAACACAGCCAGTCTTGTGCTTAGGCTTCTTTTTTAAAAAATTATTCATAGAACATAAACCCTCAAAAATTTTTTTCCAGTTTGTGGCTAGTATATTCCACACATTCTGTATTCTTATAAAATGAAGGAACTCACATAAAGGAACAGCTGTACAAGAATACATCTGAAAAAAAGCAACCTAAATTACCGCAGCTCCTTTTAAATAAATATCCAATAAAAGGCACAAACCTGTCATGGGGGAAAACATAACATACAAAACAAGACCTATCAAATAAATAAAGTGTGGGTTGGGGTGAGGGAAATCTGTTCCAGCACCTATTTTGTCATTGCTCCAAGATGAAATTCTGGCCAAAGATTTGGTAAAGGATTAAACTTAACCACAAGGATACACATTTGAGATATACTGAAAGATTTGTCGTTACAATTCCTGTTGTAACTGTACCACTCACTACAATCTCCTTAAATAAACGAGCATGAGGATCTGCATAAGGTAGCGCTGCAGTGATGTACAGATCAACGACAACTCAGATACATCTTCAGTCATAGCAACAGGTTCTCTATTCCTACCTATCAGTAATGTATAAATGATAACATGTACAGTTTCCATTGCTCAAAAATATAATCTTTTAAATGGAAATAAATGACTGATACACAGTGCCCTTTAGATGCTGTCCTTACAATACAAACTACCAAAACCAAAAAGTCTTCCTTTTTTATGTACAAATTAAGCACCGATCCACAGTGCATTACTATTCTAATTGTAACCCCCCCTCCCTGCCACACATCAAAAAACCCAGCTGGGGATAACACCCTGTATTCAGTCTTGCAGTCAGAAGTTTCATTGTTGTTACTTTTGTATGTGTGGTTTTTGCTGTTGGTTTGCTGTTGGTGGTGGTTTTTTTAAACCAAAAGTCCATTTGTTGTTTTTACCTACAAATATTCCACCACTGTGCACAGAACTGAGATTTCTCTAGTACACATGTTCAAAATTGTTATTTAAAAAAAAAATAAAATCAGTAACTTCTTGGAGGTAAAGTCAAGCTATATCTAGAGAACATTAGAAAACCCCAGTTTTTTAAAAGGAGATACATGTTCAAGTCCAACAGGCCTCACACAATCCACCTTTCCCATTCCCCCAGAAGTTATCCTATGTCGTATCCCATGAGGGACAGCCTGCCTGTAGCAGCACCAGCTCCCCACAGTAAGGTTCAAATGACCCACGACAGGACAATAATGCAAAGCCCACAGAGTACTTGGAGTCTTCCTCCTTGTACAGGCAGACATGGAGAGACATCTCAGTTACCTGCTTTCTGAAGTGTTCACAACATGATTCTGACCAAACAAGCTGGAAGAAAAGTCACATTTCTACACATCTCTCTTCATTGCTTTACTCATCATAACTTCTATTTGCAGCTCCTTGGGCTGTTACAGTCAACCCTCAAGAACAACCTTGGTCTTCAAAGTGTTGGGTTTGTGTTGTTTTTGTTTTTGTTTTTTTTTTTCCTTTTTTTTTTTTTCTGAGCCATAAAAGCCTTGACAGCATCCCAAGTCCTTGGTTTTCACTTCTTATGTATGAATTATGTTATTGAAACACATACTCTGCCATTTTATGCATTCCAATACATGCACCAGGAAGAGGTTGGCCAGTCCTGTGCACTCGTGTGCAGAGAGAAGCAACCTTTGCTTCACAAGGATCAAACTGAATGCTGTGTTTCAAAGTATCAAACACTGTGAAGGAAACTAAAAAGAAGGTAGGCTATAAAGTTTTTAGAATGTACGTTGTGGCTGTTTCTCCTTTTTTAATACTAAATAAATTGGTATCAGACAGCTTTGCTACAAGAAAGCAGACCAAAGAACTATTAAAAAGATCCAGAACTAATCAGAAATAGTGCAAACTATGACCTAGTACTAAATCCATTTCTGAGCCAAGTACATTCCAGATATTCAGAATGCTCTGCAATAAAGTTATAACAAATATATACTGCTTGCCAGGCATTTATTTGCATATTTTATTAAAATAATGCATTATTACTTATACAACTCAGTATGAGAAGGAGACCTAACAGCTTACAGTGCATGGAACTGCCTGCTTGTGGCGCTCTCACCTCTGTCACTAATGCCCAGATATTTGTAACTACAGGTACTGGTCTAATTTGAACACAAGACTTTTCATTGCTGAATAAATCAGTGGAATTCACTATTTCCTAAATAAACAGTCCCCTCAACACAATGACTTATTCTAAATGGCATCTATTCCCTTGTCATGTGGAGGGCAACTATAGGCACTGAAGAACTCATTGGCTTAAAATGGTACAACTGTTCAACCCAGTAAAGGTGGTTTAAAGCTTGAAGCCCTTTGTAATTCAAACTTGAACATTAAATTGCCATATACTGGTCCAAATTCTTTTAAAAATCAATACACATCAAGGAACTCTGAGTTTTAAATTTCTGCAAGATTACATTTCCCAGGAAATCAGCAGTTACAGATTCTAACGGCTGGGGAACGAAGTTTTATTTTGCTTCTTTTATGTTATTTCATTTGGCAAAAATACTTCCATAGGGTTAAGAGAGACTACTTTTGCACTCTTTGGACAGAATTAAGCATTGGGAAAAAGAGAAGGCTTGTTCCCAATTTGAGGAATGTGCTGTAATTTAGAAGTTCTCTACTAGACAGTTTGAAAAGATTCTCAGGCCTACCTGCATTTATGGTGAGAGTCAGAGATATTTCTGCAATTACAGACTCCCCAAAAGATAAAAGACTTACTACTCTGGAGGTCTATTTATTGTAACAATAGAAAACTATTCCTTTTTGGAAAACTCAGCTTTAATATTAATCATTTGGAGAAGTAATTCTATGGGAGAGCTTTTCATTGTGTTCTGCCGTGAAACTTCTGGAGGAAAGGTTGTTCCCAGTTCCATCTACTTATTATAACTATTGGGTTTTTTTAATGCTATCACTTTTTAACAGACAGTTAAAAATAGAAGATAAGGCATTTTCATAGCCAATTTCAGTTCTGGAGGAAGATTTTTAAATACAAAAGATGTGCCAGAAGTCTGTACACATCTGACCCATTGTGAACAGCAATACCTCATAAATTAGTTGATTTAAAAGATTTTCCTCTCAAAAAGAGTCTGCATTTCTTAACATAGCATTTGAACCTTGAAATTACTACAGAAGAAAAAGATTACTGCAGCATCAAAGAAACAATTATCTAAAAGTTTGCACATATTTACACATTTAAAAATAATTACTTTTATATGGTTTACAACTAGGTTCTTATTTCAAAAAAAGCAGCACAAGCTATTCTCTACAGCTGGATAATTTTCATATAGTTGCCAGTTCACAAGAGTCAGCGTGACTGCAAGGTTTGAGTCTTCTGACCTAATGGACTTTAAAAAAGGAAAACTGAATCTCTTGCCTCGATTGCACTTGGCAACAGGATTTAGAAATTGCTCCCCCGTGCTGAGGTTAGGGACACTACAGCCACTGGCTCCCAAAGCTACTCTTCCTTGAAGGATGAAAGATGCCACCTGCAGAGAAGGTACCTGATGGAAGTGCAGCTCCTGTCACCTCTTGCAGGCTGCAAGTGCTGTTCTGTCACACACTTGTTTTCCCTCCTCCACCACAGACCTGCAGCCCATATCAGAGCCCAGCTCTTTTAACTCCCCCTGTAACACTGATATACCAAGGGAGCAATTTATTATTTTTACTATATATATATGTAATAAGTATGTGTCTTGTTGATTCACAGCATTTCAAACTCACATTATAAAGTTTGCAAATTACTATAAGCTACTCTAATGTGAAAAAGCTGTCTGATTTCACACAATATTGGCCTTATGATAATGCAAGCATTGCTCTGTCAGAGTATTTATTAGAGCACATAAAAATTTTATTGCTCAACTTGATTTGTGTTGTGTCTTGGTTACAACAGCCACAGAATTTATGGAGAAAATAAATAGCTTTTGACATCCTCAGTCGATTCCCAAGGTCATCCACTGATGATTAAGGTTGTAGAGCAATCATGTAACCTTCTCTTCAGCTTTGAAGATGATAATCCAGCTTGCACCTTCTGAGTCAACCTCAAAAATACAGTTTTCTGCTGAGCAGTTTAAAAAAAAAAATCAGGGAACAAACATGACTTCACACTGCAGTGACTGTTATAAACAAGAATCTCTAAAGCATTGCAATTCAAAATAATATTGTATTATACAGGGAAAAAACAGTTGCCCTGTTCAAGAACATATCATGGAAAGATTGCAATTCAGTCTTTTCATTTTTTTTACCAGTATTTGGTTGTTCTCACATCTTGTTGCTTTGGTGGCTCTACATAAACTGTATCTGTGAAGCAGAGACAACATATTAATGCCACTTAAATAACACAGAGCTTCTCAGTGTTTTAGAATTATGAATCTATTCCACTGCCTTGTTACTTACAAGTTAAGTCCGTAGGCTTTGGCACTTTAAAACACCCCCAAAAAACATTTAAGACCAACGTATTTGAATGACAGGAATACAAAGTTTCTCCAGTTCGAATGACCTCTGTTCATGCCTTTCTCACTCCCCCATCCCCTGATCCTTCAGGAAGCTTTCAACATTGCTCTAGCCAGTATGACTCAACCAAGTATCCAGCTGATGTCACAGGAAGTCTGAAACCTACTCATCTTCACCACTCCCACTCTCTTAATATTGACACAGTGAGAGACAAACCACTAAATCTCTCATTTTTGATTTCTTCCTCGTTTCCTGCAATTGTGTGATCTCCCATCTGAATTTGTCTCCTGACCATCAAAAGCTGCTGAGGAACCCCCCACTTTCACAGAATGACACCAGTAGCTCTTCACGAAGCATTTGGTTGCTTTTACCAAGACTCAAGTTTCAAAGTCCTGACAAGATTAAAGAGCCCTGTTCACCTGAGTTTCAGAAACAGGTGCAAAAGGATTTGTTGGCCGTAGACCAGGCTGTGTATACATCATTGACTGGGGTGCCATCAAAGGAGCAGCTCCAACCTGAGGAGGTACCTGTTGGAAAAACAAACCCCCCACAAGACAAATATATAAAATTCAAACTAATTCTACAAGACACGTCTTTTTGCATTTAAGTATAGTAGAAAATAAGCATATAGAAACACAAACAGAGTAAAGTCAAAGCTTTTAAAAAACCTGCTATATAAAATTTAGAGTAATCTCTTTCAACGCAGGGTGTGAAAAAGCTTTATCTGATTTCAAACAGTATTGTCAATATATTGAAGTTGCAGAATGATTTGAACATAACAATGCATGCCATGAAACCCACTGGAGGAGATAACTTTCAGGAATACAAAACAATCACATCTCTTACCATTCCATATACAGGCACTTGAGGTGTGGTCAACGGGTATGCGATAGGAGCAGGTACCTTCAATCAAGAAAATGTTAAACATTTTAGAGAAAAACTCACGCATACTAACAATATACATAAAACTTTGAAGAAGACATTTTTCAGTACTTAAAATAACCAACATATTTACAAGAAATCGACTTACATATCCAGGATAATGTACTCCATTCTGGCACAGCAAAAGGATAAGATAGAAGATTATTTAATAGGTATTCGAACTGGAAATTCTAACCAAGGGATGGATTCAAGTCCAGCACCCACAATAGTTTGCAACTATGCTCAACTCATATATTAAAACAATCAAAGTGGGAGGAAAAAAGTGCAAGAACAGTAACAGCAGTAACTATGCTTAGAAAGCTACCATTGATATGACTTACAGAAAAATTGGAAGTTTTACCACACCTAGCCAGATTTGAGTATATTGCTTGCACATGCATGTGTGTGAGAAGCTTTTAGGGGGCACAGCATGAAATATTCCTTCTTCCTCCCACTATGTGAGAAGGGCATAGTAAAAAAAAAAAAAAAAACAAAAAACAAGGAAGGCTGTGACTATTTGGTTTAAAAAACAAATAGCAACAGATGTTCAGTCATGTGAATGTTGCTCCATACCAACATCTGATGTCTGCAACATGTCACAATATGGAAGAAGAAAAAATGAAGAGCATCTTAAGCCAGATATACCTGATATCAGTTATGTTCACAGGCACAGTGGTGCATGCACTTCATATTGCCACACTTTGTTAAACAGCACTAATTATACTGGAAATTAAAGTGCTAAATAAAACACTTGGCTATGGAATAGTAAGCAGGTGATATGTGAATTGGAGGGTTAGCACCCTGAGTGCCACAGGCCAAGCCAGCACTGGGGCACAGATTGTAAAGGTGCTCATAGCTGAGCTAGATCTGTGCATCACCAACTGCTGGGGTTCCACATAAATGCATGAACAGACACCTGGCACAAAACACTCAAAGAAATGCTTATACCAGAAAGCAATAAACATGAACACGTGCAATAAAACCACAAAGCCCAAATCCACACTGCATCAGCATTTTAAGAATACGTTCTAGAGCATCAAGAGGGGTTAAAGAGATGGTGGGATCTCAAAGAACCTCACATGAAAGTGCCATACAACTGAGACACCCAATCATCTAAATCTTTTAGTCTCATTTTTGAGTCCAAAACTGGATGTAATCTTCTAGTCAACTTTGCTAATTCTGAATGAGCATAGTCATGTAAGACAAGGAAAACAGGCATTAGAGGTAAGCTATTCTTATTGCAAAATGCAGACAGCTGTCCAAAATTTATAGCAAATGTGGTGATTACCCTAAATGTACACGTAACTGAGATCTGTATGAATACAAGACACTTGGAAAATCTCTTTTAAAAGCACAAGAAAAGGCAGCTGCCTACAAGTACCCCTCCAAGGAATGAAAATTTTTCATTTAAATAACTGCAAAAGATCCACTTAGCATTTTGTACTGTGTTAAAAACACGAAGCTGCTGTTGAGCATTATCAAAAGTCCAAAGTGCTGCTTGACTTGAAGATTAAGGTGCCTTACAGGGGTTGCAGCAGGTTTCATGTGATAAAACTGAAAAAGGAGCAAAAACTGGAAGGAACAGCAGTTTTACCCTTAAAACACATTCTTAGGATGTGTATCTGTGCACATGTGCCTGGGAAGGGGACTGGGAGCATCTCAAACACGCACATCAGGAATTTTCTGGATTGGGATAATTGTTTTCAATCCAGAAAGAACTTACGAACTGAAATAGATAATCAGCCTTCCATTTGAGACATAAATTTTTAAAGGACAGGTTTTACAATGAGGGGACATACAGCATACTAAAATCTCTATTTAATTCAGTATGATTCTATGATCCTATCAGCACTCCCCCCCTGCTCCCAGTCTTTTCCCAAATGCCTTGGCTGTTCTTTTTAAGTTATTTGGAGCAGGGAAGCAACATTTGCTAGAATGAAGTGTAATTTCATAGCACAGAAATTACCATGTGTGGAATGGTGGGTAGGGGAGTTGGGTTCCACGTGGTTGATGTGCTTGTTTTTGCTTGCCAGTTAGTTCCACCAGTAAGTTTTTTCTCTGTGGGCTGTGACCACTGCATGTCTGACCTAAAATGAAATTGTGGTATTAGTTTTTACAGGGGGGGGCAACAGCAAGAGTAACAATGATGTAACAGGAAACCAAAATATGCTTAAATACATGTACACAGCTGAAATCTATGGGTGGAAGAAACACTCAGGATTTCAGTAACTACTTATGTATCTCTGCTCCATTAAGGATGAGGTCTGGGGGTTCTGCTTGTGTTGAAAGTAAACTATCATTACTGCACTGTACAGCACAATGGTTAAGTGGAGTTTGATGCAACTGCAAGATCTTTCACCATGCTTCATAAAAGTACAGCAATTGCAAAACTCAAATGAACTACTTCAAAAATTAAGGTTGACTGTGCTATGGTGACTGAGCACAAACACACCGTTTCAAGGCAGTTCTTGATTATTTCAGATTCTTTCAACAGCTGAGACTCTTGTCATGTCAGTGCTGGTAAACTGTGCCAGAGTCTACCAAAGAGTCATGTGAGAACACTCTAAGAACATTCATGCACTTACTTTTTGGATGGAGTTCCCCCAAAGCCAAGATCTGTGGGGGAAAAGAAACGGACAAAATCCTTAAGCATTTTGAATTTTGGAGGGGAAAAGCTTGTTTTGCTTTCAGTAACAAATAGGAAAGTTAATTTTAAAAGATTCACACTTACTTCCTACTAGATTAGCAAGTGAAGAATCGAGGTCATTTGCCAAAATTTTTCCACTTTGCTGGCTGGCTCCAGTGGCTCTTTGACTTTGTGGCGGTACTGTGGGTTGCAATACATCATCTAGAAAGGTAAAAGCTAAACCAAGAACACAAAAGCAACTGTTAATAAAATGGTTACATTGCATTTAATAAAAGACATCCACAATCCAGGGAGATATTTTCTATACTAAGTAATTAGAATATTTTTATGTGGAGGTTCAACATGCTGCAAAAGTGTCTAAGACTTGGATTAGAAGCAGAGTTTAACCTCTTTGGTTTTTATTAATATTGTAGCTACTAATCTAGTAAAATCTTTAATTCAGCAGACATTATTGTTATTTTCAAATTAAGATGAATCTCCTCTAAAACTGCAGCAGGAATGGCGTTGTTAGTGTCAATATAGTGGTACTTCCATGATACAGTACCCTGAATGTACACAAGAGCTCCTCTGCTGTACAGAAGAGCAAGGCTGTAACTCAGATATTCTTCAAGCAACACAACCCCCTAGTTTTGCATTTCTGCAAGTACAGTGCCTGTCAGTGGAGCCAGGGGGAATTTATTATCATGTAGCAAGAGAAAACACAAGTCCTAAGCACTGAAAACAAATGAACACGTGAGCTTACCCGTTAGGGGAGATCCAGTGGGCCACGTTCAAAGTTCGCTCCCCCAGAAAGAGAGGAAACCATTATTACACAATGGATGAAATTAGTCAGAGCTAATTTTAAAGTAAATAACTACAACTGAACTGATTGCCTCTTATCAGGCTCATTATCACCTTGCAAATAGGTTAAGTTATTAAATTTTGAACTGCAATAGCAATTATGCTAAGTTGTTAAGCAACTGGTGCCTGTAGGGTATAAATTAGTCATAAGGCAGTTTTTACCACTGGCAGTCCTGTACTCTGGTGCTGAAGATTTTCCTCCAAAAACAGCATCAAAGTCCACATTGATTGATGAAGAGGTGGTACTTGGAGGAGCTGAATGAAGAGGGAAACCTGGAAAAAAGAGTCGAGTAATGAAATACACCCCTGAAGTAATACCACTAAATACAGTGAAAAAGCAAAAAAATCAAATTACCATCAACAGTCAGAGGATGATACACAGAAGCATATGTAGGTTTATGACCACTAAAGTCATCTTTGTAAAAAGAGAGAAGAAAATAAGATCAGTTTTAAAGAGAAAAAGGAAGAGGAGACCCAAGAACTAATTCTGCAGTTAAAATTTAAAAACTTTAAATATTATAAAAAGATTTTTTTATTTTACAGATTTGAAGAGCCAAGTGAACTCCTGCATTCCCCATTACAAAAGAGAAAGGCAGTTGCAGTTTGAAAGAAATCTGCAAAAATTCCAGCACCACTGCAAGTCTCAGGATATCTACGTTGGGCAAGCGCAACAAAATAATAATTTATTTCAACTATAGAAATAAAATTTCAAGGAAACATATAATTTACTACACTTGGAATTAATGCACTGTTTTCACTTCTTAACCAAAAGTGAAAACTGGCCCAAACCACAAACAGATTACATGGCCCACTTTATCAGCATTATTATTATCTCCAGTAGCAAATAAATGACATGGGGTTTATTTGGTTTTTTACCACTAAACAGTTCCACCGTTTGTTTGGAGGAAAAAGAAGAATTGATGAAAGGGGTGGCAGATTTTACAGCTTCTTCAACTGGCTTCATGTCAAAGATGTCCAGATGAGGTGGAGAACCAACACAACCATTTGAAGACGAGAAAGGACCTTTCAGATGCAGAAGTGAAGGAAAGAATACAGAGTACAAATAATGGAAAAGAAAAACAGACTGAAATGACTGAATATGAGAATCTCTAGACAAAGTTCAGTTGTCAATATTCCACCTTGTGATCAGCTCATTTAGATACAAATTCTTAGTTTCAGATAAAAATCCTAATAGTTCTCTCTGTTTAGGAAAAATAGTTCCAGTATTTTCACTGGGGGGAAGGAGAGAATGACAGAACATGCATCAATCAGAGAAGTCAGGTACTACATTTTTGGCTTCAATAATCTATCTTTTAAATAGCACATAAGGGTATCAATTCCACCTATTAAAACACCAACATTTACCATGGTGTTAACACTGTCTTCTTTAGGCATTTGAGCCATTTCTTTGACATCTGATCATTCTTTGGAAGGATGGGTGAGGGTACAGAGAATGCTGTGCCCAAGAAAGTAGGATACACAGCTTAATTATGAGAACTTTGAAGTTAGCAGTACCTTTTAAAGGAAAAGTATATTAAATATTGCTTAATAAAATGGAAATACTATCCAGCATCTTTTCAGTTACATTTGCTTAGTTTATATTTCCCAGCAATTTTAAACCTTGACTTTTAGTTACCACTTTTTCTACCCTTTATTGAAGGGCTCCTTCTTTCCCTCTACTGGACATCAACACTAGTGCTACATGTTAAAGAAAGTTTGCCAGAGCTTTCAGATGATTTCTTTTATATTTTGTTAAGAATAGAAATGTTTGGATGCAAAGTAATTAACGTTTAAGATGCAGATTGAAGTAAGTATTAAACCTGTATTTTCTTCCTGTATTCTAAAAAGTCCCCCCATCCTTCAGACAGTCAAATCAAGGTATGAGCTCACCTCCCCAAGCACTGCTTGCTGATGTTGATATAGCTGGAGTACTCTGCACAGTTGGAACAAATGCAGGCTGAAGATCAAAAAGATCACTAGAAAGGTTGGGCATGCTGAATAAGAAATGAGAGAGAGAGAAATATGAAGATATGTAACAGGCTTTGTATTCTTGGGTGTTATATGAACACTCACACCAATCTCGTTTTCTCTTATTCACTAATAGCCCATCAACAATAGCGGTACAAAAACTCGTAATTTAGCATTTCCTGACTGATACCAAAATTCCTGTGGGTACACAAAGAAGGCATCAGCAAAAGGTACTTGGGAAGTAACTGGGATTGGTGCTTTACAGTGATTGTGGAGCTGTGGGCACTGCAGTAATTTCTGCTTCCTGCAGAAAGTAAAGTATCTCTCACCTGTTTGTTGTGGGTGCTGGTGCAGCAAAGAGGTCAACAGCTACAGTGGTATTCACACTTTTTCCTGATAAAGTGCTTGGGGATGCTGATGTGGAAGTGGAATTTGATACTACAGAAATCTCTCTTAATCGCTGCTCCTGAAAGATGAGATAGATAGATTTTTAGTATTATTAATTTATTAATCTTTCAGTCCTAAACACCTTCTCCAAGAAGAAATTTTAATTATGGTCTTAATAAATAAAAGTTATTCTTCTGTAAAGTTATTCTTCTGAAAACATTACATTGAAATCAGGTGAGATTTCAAGGTGAGACTTGATGTTTTAAATAATTACTTTTTAAGTTACCCACAACTGCCTAGACGTAAACCACTTCTAGTCAAGCTACAGTCTAAACTTCCTTCACAGCCACTCAGAGAAACAGGCCAGTGGACTTTTGATCAGGAAGATGCATCCCCTACTTTATGGATCTTCATAGTTCAATTCAGATGTTCAGAAATCAATGACAATGTACATCCCACTGAGATTCAGGTGGTGCTGCTCTTAAGATGGCAACAGAAAAATCCTGTTTACATTAATTTCAGGTTTACATCCCTCATTACTCCAGATATGCCCACTGCATTTATATAGCAGAGGTGTATGTCATACACAGCTGATGCTCCTCACTGAGTGGCCTTGCAAGGAGCTTCCCCACCTCTTTTAAGCTCATCTTGATTTTTACCTGTATCCAGTTACAAAAAAAAAAAAAATCTTGGAAAACTTGTTGAAAACATGGTACCTTCAATGCCTGCAGTCTAACTTGCTCCTCCTCCAACGCCTGCTGCTTTTCTTTCTCATCCATCCTGCTGAATGACATTCCTGTATTGGCAAGTGAGGAAACAGCACTGGAAAGGGCACTAGCTCTAAAAAAGGTAATAATAAAAAAAAAATATTAAAAAAATACAGTCAGGTCTACATCACTTACAGTCTAATGATCAAATGCTCTTCATAGCTGTGTGCCATTTCCCCCCCCCTCAGTCACTTCTTCCTTTACTCTCTGGTACAAAAAAGCCCATCAACAGGGTTTGGTGACAAAGCACTATGAGGATACCAAATCAATCCCTCAAGTTCCAGTGGGTAGGAACTGGAAAATTTGGAACATACCAGTTGTCTTTTCTCTTTAAATTCACCTAGACTAGACTGGAATGTTATTCAAATGGCAGAGGCACAGAAAGCTTGTTTGTACATTATGTAACAGCAGTCAAAGCACGAGAGTTATTCCCTATTTAGTGCACACTTAAACAGAATCCTGTGGCAGCAAATCCTCAAATTCTTGAGCAAAAAAAAAAAAAAAATAATCTGAGGAGAACACAACTCAGGAATGTAGCTCCCACTGATACATTTATCAACATTTACCAAGTTTCTGTGTGAGAATGTCTGTGCCAAATGAGATCTCTCACTCTTCAGTCAGAAGTACTGTTCATACAATATTGATACCATACTTGACAGAAAGAATAACATAATTCCTATCAGCACACAACATCTAAGCTAGTTTGGCTGTTCTGAGAAGGGACTGAAGAGCTTGCAGACATACCTAGATTTTAAGCATGGCTAAGCTACCAGACTATTACTCACTAGATGCTTCATTTATATTTCTATGAAGAGACATTCAGAAGTGAACAAAACTCAGGAATACCAAGTGTCTGAATCCTGACAATTCTTAGAATAACAATGACAGATATTAAGTATTGGCACTGCTGTAATTCGTTGGGTGCTCACCTGCTGGCAGCAGAGACTTCTTTTGTTTTCTTTCCCTCCACAGAAGCCAAATGCTGTTCCAATGCCTCAAGCAAGCTACTGGGTGCCTAAAATTAAAAGTATTTATAAAACATTGCTTCTAATCAACACATCATCATTTAGCACACAGATGAGTTTTCTCATCCACGAAAAACAAACAAAAACTCACACATTGATAATTGTGCCTTTGGGTTTTGCTGCCACCCTGCACACCCAGATCCTACCCACTCAGGAGTGGTTCTTTAAAAGCAGTGGGACCACAGAGACACGAAGGAAGGATTCCCCCAGAGTGGGTTTGCTTCTGCACATGCAAGTTGCATCCTTGGTTTTGGCAACAGCATTTGCTATGTTAGGATTAACTGAATAATCACAGCTGATTAAGCAGTACTCCCTTAAACTCAGAGAAGTCCCAAAACAAAGACTTGGCATTTCTGATCTCCTTTCTCATGTAACAACAAAAAGCCAGTTGTTCTTCATTCGAGTATTTACAGTCAAAGGCTTGTAGTAAAAACACTTGACTACAGCAGGATGTTGGGTTTGATCAAATAGGGAGTCAAATTCAACCTGATCCCAACAACACTACTGCAGACTGAGCACTGTACAATAAACCAACTCCATTACTCCACGTTAAATAAATCCTACTGCAGGTTCAGATGAAAGGAATGGAGCTCTCAAGTTTTAATCTACTTGCCAGCTCAGCCCTCCTCACCTGGCAGGGTTTCAGAGACATTAAAGCCTCTCTTTACCCCCGCCAACTTTGAGTAGGTAAAACAGATATGACAGGCATTGTTTGGAAGAAAAACAAGCTTGCCCTTGTGTAGCCCTTATGTACCAAAAGGCATTTCCTGGAAAGAGGAAAAGTATTATTTACACAAGGCTTTGGCAACCTCCCCTTTGAAATACTGAGCACAAGTCTAGATTCCCACATTCACTGAAGGCAAATTCAAGCTAGATGAATCAAGAGATGGAGGGGGGAAAAAAAAAAGCACTTATAATAATCCTATAAAACTTCTTGTCTTAAAATTAAGGTCTGAGCTTGTATTTAAGTAGAGCTAGGTAAGCTAAGACAGTGTAGCTACTTCAACAACAGGTCATGAATAAATTTGGTGTTCGACCTGGACAGCTAAATCCCAAGGGGGACATTTTGAAACACCCATCTAGAAAGGTATGAGGGACCAAAAAAACCCACACCTTTCAGGAGGCACAAATATCAATGTAGCTGTGTCATGCAATGCCTTTTGCAAACTAATCTTAATAATAGAAGCCTGTGCCCTAATTCCAGAAAGCTTTTTTTTTTTCTCCCAAAGCCACTCTAAAACTTATTTGTATGGAAAAGCATATTCTATACTTACTATTTCTAAAACCCTCTAAAACAACCCCTCAACCACAAGAACTAAACCAAAGAAACCTCCTCTGAACTTTCTTATTGCTGCACACATCCAACAAAACATCAAATTTTGACTGAACAGAGTAGTTTTATGTCAGAAGAGATGCCTGAGCTAATACAGACATTATGACTTGAGAAGGGCTGTATTTCAGGATTCAGCCTCCCTCCCCCCACACAAAGACATCTGACAGACTGACATCCATACAGAGGAAAATGATCCAGTTACAGTCATGAAAAACAGAGAGCAAGCAACATCACTGTGAAACAGAGCATCTACAAAGGAAAATATTTTCTTTACAGGAACAGGCAAAATGGCAGTATTAAGAAATTCTAGCAAATCCTTTTAATGTGGCACTAAATGGATGTACAATTACTTAACTCACGTTAAATGCCATGAAATTTTCTATGTAAGTGGAAGGCTTAACAGTGGCACTGAAATTGCCAAAATACACAGGATGCTGATGTCTACCACCAGTTCAAAGTTGCCTTTCTTGTGTAAGTACATTTATAAAAAACAGCTGAGCTATTAGGAATAAAATACTGTGGAAACAGTAGAGACTAAGGATTTTCTCACTGAAAGTTTTGGATGAAAAAAGCAGCAACATGAAGTTAAATCCCCCTATTCTCAGTAAATTAAAAAAACCCCACCTGCTTTCAAGAGCCTTATAATGACCCAATTAAGGAGGCAAGGGCACACAAACCCAGTGAGGTATAAATAACTTCAGACTGGAGTATAATGTGATTAGCATAATACAGACCAGCTGAATACTGCACTACTAATCAACAGACAGAGTAAGATGCTAACATCAAACATCAACAGAAAACATCAAACTACTGTTTTCACTCACTACCTGCTCTTACTCTGATGGTTACAGTCATATTTCTTTCCTACCACAAAGGCCTAGAAGTTCTTAGAGGGATTAATATAAATTGCTAGGAGCAAACGTTAGAGATTTGTACTTTGAAGCATGTATGGTTTCAGATGGAAATCATATGTAGGCAGTAATGAATACCACTAACAATGGAAACTCGTGGTTTAGATTTCATTTCCATATTAAAAAGACACTGAAGTTTAGGCAAATCTTTACACTACGTATATTTTTACATGATTAACCCACAAAAGTTAATTTCATGAAGGTAGCGCAGGACTAGATGTAACTGTTCAAAGCTCACACATTTTTACTGTTTCTCAGTGACTCCACTTAAACAGCTCAAGTACTCTGGAGCTCTAAGACACCCCAGTGTCCTGGCAGGTGGCTGTTTATTCCACCCATCAGGTTACTCTGCACTACAGAAACAACAACAAACACCTCTGTGCTGTTGGGTTGACCCTACCTGAGAAACACATCGGCCCTGTGAGCTGAGGGAACTCACAAAGAATACCTTGATTCATTTCTGTGGACTATCAGTGTTTCCTTTCTCCAGGTCACACCACCTTTTTCACCTCCCTTCTGCCCCTCAGTTTACCCTCACTGGAAGGTGTTTCCCTTCACTCCACCTTTCAGAGTAAATTTTCCAGCACATAATCTGCACTGTGCACGTCCCTCACACCACTGAGTGCTACTGAAGCTGGAACCGAGTGCTGATATAGAAACATCCAATTTATTCAGACCTCAGGGGACAGAAAGAAATCCTTGACTGAACTAACTCTCTGTAATCTTTGAGTGTGTTGGAAGACATTAAGTTACAGTGAAATGGAAGGTTTTCCTCTAGGCATGGCAAGATGCTTGTGGCTTACCTTGCCAGGGATCCTCTGTGGAAAAAAGAAACAGAAGTGCTTGAAAAATACTTTCTGTGAGTTTTATTGCTTTAAACAATCAAAAATAAGCTTATTAAGAGCTTCAAAGCTTAAGTATTGAGTACATTTAATGCATGGTAAAAGTTACCAAATTCATTTCCAACCTTTAAAACCATTAAAAACACAAAGAACAAAAGAGTTGGGTTAATCAATATACCATGGACACTGACCTGAGTAAGATCTGGAATGTCACCCTGATCAATTCCAACTTGCTGGGTTTACAAAAAATGAAGAAAAAAAAAGTACATTAATACATGCAGTGGCAGTGAAAATTAAACCCAGCAATATCTGAATGTTACATAGAAACTAACATTTAAAAAGGGATATTTGTAACTTTCTTAGAAATCACAAGTGCATTAAGCTGCATCTCAAGGCAAACCCAACTTTTCATCCTGCCTGACTTTCATGCAGAAAAACCTATTGGGGTCATTAGAAACACCCACATCGCTCACTGCAACTCCGTTTTTTAGCTGCTACATTAAAGGAGAGCACTGTAAATATGCTGTAACATTAAGTTTATACATTGTGGACCATTCATAAAATTTTTATCAACACTTCAGGAAAATTTCCTATGTTATCTAATAAAAAAAAAGGATACCCAAGAATCTCACCTCATGTTAATGAGAGTACACAATCTTTAAAATACCTAATCTAATACTTCACTGTAGAGCAAAGAATCTCTGTGAAGTTGTTTGAACATTGATACTGCACCAGTACAGACAGATAAATTAGATCTTTTCCACAGATGTAGATTTATTTACCTCTGCTACTTTGAGGAATTCTGACAATTTGGTCATTCTGGCTAGAAATTTTTTGTAAATATCCAAGCCTTCTTTGCACTGGTTCTTCTTCATATCAAAATATCTTTCTGAGGATGCAAATAAAACTCTTGTAAGATAATACCCACCCCAGCAAAAAGGTGACACAGTATTATAAAAGTTAATTTGAGACAAGCTTCAGGTAGAGAGCAGACAGGATTAACTCAAAACTATTCAGATTTTAAAGTTTACCTGAACACCTGACACCTTTTGTACTAAGTCAATCAACACAAAACCACTGATTTTTCTGTTTCAGACTATTAAACCATAATGCAAAGCTTTATTAAGCATGGATTTGAAACACTGCAAATTATTAAAGTAGGTATTATGGCGAATATTCTCAAAAATCAGCTTATTAGCTGGCAATGAGGCAAATGATTTTAGCATTTGAAAATATTCCCGGTATATATTTATATTTTTAGATGCTATATCAATACATTTTGATGTCTCTAGATGGGCCTAAAATCCAAAAGGTATTAGAATGGCCACTGAAGTGATTACATATACTGAACTGACCTACCAAAAGGAGCAAACACATCCTTCATTTTTTACGGTTTTGTTCTGTATACTTAAAAAATCGTCTATATTCTTTAATTTTCTCAATACCTTCACAAGTTCAAAAGCTAAAAAAATTCTCACATACCTAAAAGATTAATAATCCCTTCATTGTATGCTGCAAAAAGTCTAATGGAATCTTTAAAGAGGAGCATAAAGGCAGCATTTATAACACCATTTGTTAGTTCATTTGGATTTGCCTGTGTAGAAAGCAATGAGAAAGTAAATTAGTATTTAACAAAACAACCAAACTCTCACTTCAAAATGAGAGTGTTTTACTTAACACTGAGTTTAAAGTACTTGCATCAAAATCAAGGAGTGCATCAAGCTGGTTCTGTATGATTGGAAGGGTTTTCAGAAGCTTTTCAGGATTCATGGTTCTCATCACTCCATCTATCCTACAGAGGAAAAGACACAGATCTACAAGTCAAAAAAGACCTCAGCACATTGTGCTGTTTCAACAATTCAATATTGCTTCCAAGGGTCAAAAGAACACCTTTCTGTGCCAAGCTCAAGAACAACTGGCTCCCAGCCCCTGCAGTAGGAAACATCTGACAAAAGAAGTATCAGTCTTACCCTCTTTTCATTTTGGTGAAGTCAACTGCTACAAGTCTATATGAAAGTGCTTTTTCATTCAAGTATCTGCTGTATCGCCTGATGAAGGTAGACATATCATAGCCTAAAAGTTAAGCATTTATAAGTTAGACATTTTAAAGGGGTACAGTTCATTTTACAGTTCTTTTCAAGAACTAGCCTCCTACTAGCCCATTTTACATCAGCCTGCTTAAAAAGCCCTTCATAGGCACTTTCTAGAGTCTTGAGATCCACTATTTTTCACCTTGAGATGTGATGTTACAGTTTCTTCCCAACTTCCTAAGATTAGGAAAGCATTTATTGCAATTCTGAGAATAAACACCTAAACACATTAAAATATTAGACAAGAACCAAGCATAAAATATCAGGAAAGAACCCAGCAGTTCTTGTTAAGATGTTCTTAAAATTAACTAAAAATGTATTCCTAGTAAAATGCTGGAGAGCTTGGTAACATATTACAACTTATTATAAAAATGGTTTTTTGCCATTACCAAGTATTTAAAGGATTTATCAGAGATCTGAAGTTCTCACTATTTATACAACACATCCTAGTTACCATTCCACGCTCCTTAACAGTAAACATTTACCCCCAAAGCATCAAAATGCAATGGCAAAAGTTATTACTGCGCTGATAATTCATCAGGTTTATTCTAATGAGCCTTAACAGTTCACCTTTTAAAGTTCACAGCTGTATGTGCAATGCTACATAGATTACAGACAAATTTCTAGCACTCACCTAGGTAACTCATGCAATATAAATAATACCCTTCAGTTTAAATGTCATTTGTCTCCTAGAGTGCACCCACACAGGCACTATTGAGAAAAAAAAGCAGTGGAGTTATTTCCTTCAGTGAAAGATCCTTACCCTGCATGGCACTTTTGTCCAGGTAGTTATTTAGGTTGAACAAAGTATTTCGGGATGCAAGATACTGGATAAAGCGCTGTTGGTGAAGAAAAAGTTAGGAATGTAAATTGTTCTGAGAGTCAAAACATTTGAGCAAGAAAACTACACTTACCTTGTAACCTCTATCAACAATAGAATTTGGTTAAAATGGAAAAAATTAGAGGAAAACCTGAAAACACTCACTAACAAAGCCTCTGAAGTCCAAAACTCTATTTGGCAAAAGTACAGATTTAAATTAATAAAGACATCACTGCCTGTGAATAAAATACTAATAATCCTAGAGGAAGCTGCTTTATTAACTTTCTACTTTAGAACAGACAAGCTGGAAAACATCAAACAGAAATACCACTTGCATTATCCAAGCTCCCAAAATTTGCACAACTCTACTGCTGCTGTAGAAGAGGAAGCCAGGCTTAATTACACAGTTTAAAAGTAGTGAATAAGAATAATGGTTCTGAACTGTGGTGAGCAGCACCACTGGGGTGATAACCATATACTTTTTATATATAATGCAGTGATCTGACTAAATAACATTTAAGTTTTGACAAATAATAGCTGGCTTCATAAATAACATCAGAGACAAACACGTCCAGGTAGCAAGGCAGTTTTAAAAGCTCCTCTGCCACTGTCACACACAGATCTCTCGTGATTCTCATTGCTTGACTTTCTTGCTTCTTTGTATGTATTTTAGCCCATAAAAGAGAATTATGATAAATATGGCTTAAGGGACTTGCTTTGATCTGAAATGCTCTGCTGCCACAGAACGTAGGGCCTGTTCCTTCACTCTCCGTGGTGGAAATGCCCCCTCCTGCCAGGCTGGGCCTGTTGTGCTCTGTAAAGCAGCGTGTGTTAAATGTGTGCAGTCAGGCTCAGGAGAGCACCTGCTCTTGGGAACTGTAATAGAGGGCTTAGCCCAGTGACGAGAAAATCCTTCTCACAGGTACTATTTAAACTGAAATCAATTTAACCTCCCAGTGATTCCCCAACTCGTCACGTAGCACCTCATGAGCAACTCCGTGTGTGTTCTCAGCCCACAGCTACGGGGTGAACACAAGTCTACAACACACAGCTTTGCCTACCAACAGTTCAGGCTCTGGTTTTTCTTATTCTGTTTTCCAGCTGACTTATCTGCACATCTTATTACTGCACTCAGAGAGATACAGAAGCAAAGCAGTAGCAACGTGATCAGGAGCAGAACAGTGATATTTGAAATGTGTCTACCCATATATATTTCAAAATTAGCTACTGTTCTGAATCTCATTTTAAAAAGGACAAGGCTAATTCTCAACTACTCAGATGTCAGGGGTCTTGTGCTGCAAAATGCACAGACAAGAGGAGTTTCACCCAAAATTTCACCTCAAGAAACAGGTAGTATGTTGAAAAAAAAACAAGTAAGACAGTGATTGCTCTGGCAACATTTTGACCCTCTCTTATATTTACTTTTACTTAAAACAGAAGTCCAACATCTGATAATTTTATTTGCTTCAGAAAAAGCCTCTTTTAATGTATTAGGAGAGTGAGGAGTACACTCATGTTCCATCTGAAATTACAGAACTAATGTTCCAGCCACGTTATCTCAGCAGGTGTAAAGGAACTCTTTCTCAAATTCCAAATGCGCTCGTTCAAAGCTGAAGGGCAGATTTGGTACTGACATAAAAATTCAACTCTTCTGCCACTACAAAACACTGTATGGGCAAACAGATACTGGCTGGTGGCCCACAACTCTTAAGTTTTGATTTTTTAAATGTTTTCTATGCTTCAGTTTGTGGTTTGTTTGGTTTTCTTCCTTGCAAGTTCCATTGTGCAGATATGAACTGTACTGGGAAAAGAGAGAATAAACAAGCTGCTTTATAGCATTGAGTTTAGCTTTATAATTCTAATAAATAGTAAATTCCACACAGTGAATTTTACTTTGCATTATTTCTTAATTTCAGTCTACTATCTGTTGAAAATACAGCTTAACCAGGTAAATAACCCGAGGGACTGTTAATGAAGAGCACACTGTTTTACAGGTCCTCTCAGTCAAGTTCACAGAGTGTTGCAGAGAGGAGGCAAAGACCAAGGTTTCAGAGCAGTTTAATGGCTGGAAGGTACTTGAGGAGTCATCACTTCAATATTACTGGAGGTCAACAATCATTTCTTAGGTCAATGACTGCAAACAGATTTAGGACTGTCACCTGACCAAAGTTTAGCTTTTAATGTAAGGACTGTACAAAGAAGCTACATTTCTAATGCCATTAGAAATGCACTGGGATGCATTTCATGAATTGTGATGAAATAATTTAAGTGAATCAAATGCAAGAGAAACACTTTTCAGAGGAATGTAAACAGCAACAACATCTGAAGGTTTAGCCCATCAGATGATGATTTGCAGGATCAAATATTCCAGTCACCATATTCCTCTCCCCTTTAGTACATATTCTTCCTTATCTGTTATAAGGTTGGCTGCACATTTATGGAGGGCTAACAGGACTCTTCTGCTGTGCTCTTACTGATAAGCACTATCCTAATGAAGTAAAGCTCATCAGAAGTCTTTCAAGTCTTTATTCTACAAAGGTCACTCATTATTTCCTCACAGCCCAACCCAGGTACCTGCAGGTAAACCGCAAACACTGATATATTTTGGTATTGAAATAATGAAAGATTTTTTTTTTTTTGACAAGTACTTTACAGCCACCAGCTAAGGAAAAACAAAGATCTTGGAAAACTGAAGTACATATCTAATGCCCTAGAGATTGAGACAATTTTTTAAAAGCCATAAAAGAGACCTTAACAGAACTAATCATGTCTTACCTCGTTTCCATACATCATGAGGTGGTGTGTTGTAATTAGAGCTTTGAACACTACGACCCAGCTACTGTTTGCAGTTCTCTCAAAGAGTGTGTCTGCCAACTGTGGAATATTCACATTCATTTCATTTGTGCACTGTATTAGATCTAAATTAAAGGGGAGAAAAGCATAACAATGAGTTACGTGCTCAAAGAGGATCAACATGTTATTTTGTGTTTTTACATAGAGAATTCTTACTGGAAGCATTAACTTCAGTTCTTTGTTTAAGAAATAATTGAGCTCTTTTAGACTCCTTCCTCAAATTCACTACATTTTACTGAAGGACTTGAAGTATGAACTTCAAAGGCATTTCAATAATTTTATGGAGTCCCAATACTTAACTTGTTGCATTAGAAACCCAACAGAGCCCAAATTAGTGTTTGAAAGCCAGTGTAGACTTTCTGGGTGCTCAATGCCTGAGCGAAATGTAACCAAAAAATCAAAAATTAAGAAACAAGGAAAAGCTGAGACATCCACACCTCCTGGGACCAACAAGCAGTAAGTTCTTTGCCACTCCAACCTAAGCCTGAGTACTGACACACATGACAGCACATGAGATGCTACAAAGCTGGAAAATAAACCTCCTTTCTGTAAGAATTAAGAGCAAGAACTTGCATCTACACACCTTTCCACTTAGCTAAAAAAACCTAATCACCAACCTCCTGACTATTTTGTGGTGAATCATGGCAGGTGTCAGGCTTTTGTATAAAAAAAGCTCTTTGTGTCCAAGGCTGATAATAAACTCGACAGTAGAACATTAACTTGGGGGGTCAGACACAGAGCTTCAAGCCTCTGCCCGAGTATTGGTACAAACTGGCCCAGGCTCCAGCAGACACAGGGGAAAGCACCTGCCTGAGAAGAGAGCAAAGAACTGAATCCAGGACTGCTCTAAACCCCTCAAGACATGCACAACAGACATGAATTCTCTCTCTCTCTACTATATTTGGCTCAGGTGTGATCAAAGTACACCCTAAGGACTGGGCAAGGCCAGTAAAACAAACATCTGGTTTGAAAAGCTTCCTTTGTGGCCTCTCCTTTAAGCCAAGCCTGTGAGCAGACCCTTGGTAGCAGAGCCCATTGCTGTTGGTGTGGCTTGTCTGGATAAGGACCTGAGGAAAGTGGCTGGGAAACAACTGAATTCCAAGGAGCTGGCACCACTGAAACAGCCACTGAAACTGCTCTGTCTTAGAAGCAGTATGTAGGGGACAGACTACATTAGCATAAGCAATTTAAACATGAACTTGGAGCTCACACATCAATAGTTTAGGACAAAATACCTCACAGAAATATTACACTTAGAATTTATATCTGTTCTAATGCACAGAATATATTATAGATGTATCTTAATTAAAGATCAGTTTATTAGGAACAAAAAGTCCTTTGATTAAGGATCATGGTTTAAAATAATTTAATAACCAGAGTAATTTTAACAGGGTAAAGAATTTTAGATATTATCTTGTCCAGGTAGAAAGCTATAAAATGGAAATTAGAGTAAGTTATTAATTTCACACTGATGACAAAGGCTTCCAAATATATACAAAACATGCAAGCTGGGATGAAGACTTTCACTCTTATTAGTAATACACAAATATGCTGAAAAAGCACAAAAACAAGAGCCCTGAAATTTTAAGCAAGCTGTACATCAAAATCTTATTGCTGAGTAGTGTTAAAATAGTCCAATATTTACAAAGGTGAAGTTTCTCAAAAAACAAGCCATTTGGTAGTCACTGCTCGTGGTTGCATCATCACCAGATCCTCTGTCATATTAAAAAGTACTTAAACCTAGAAGTCCAAACAGCCCATAGGCAATTAGTGCCCCACAGAATGAAGCAATTTCCAATTCCATAATTTATACTCAGAAATATCTTAAATTTTAATTCCGCAGCCTCATCAACTGAATGAGAACTCAGTTATGACATTTCTAAGTAGTTGTCTCAATACACATTAAGGCAAGTTTGTCTTCCTAAACACAATCAGTTTATCAGCAAACATTATAGACAGACATGGAAATAACAAGCAAGCACCAGTGCCTGAAGTGTCTGTAACCAGCACAGAAATGTTACAGGACTGTTACAAGTCCTACTCTCAGTTTATAAAAACCAAACAACCAAAAAAACAACCAACAAGAAAGCCCCAAACTCTATAAAGAGCAATACCTAAAACACCACTGGGTAACAGTTAAAGAAATTCCATTGATCTGCTGAGGTCAAAGACCACACAGATAGCCTATGGAAAATATTATTTCTGCACAAAGTCCTTTTCCTTCACACAACCACTAAGTCAGATGTTTCACTGAGGATTTTTCAATATTAAGTGTGCATATTAATAATAGATGAAACTGGGAGGGAAGATCCAGGTTAAGACCCAAACTCTTTCTACTCTCCAGTCCGGTTAGCCAAGCTATTTTCACTCCTATTTTGCCAGCGCTCTCCACATCTGGGAGATCCCTTGACAAAGGCTGCTACTGAGTGTTCTCACAGTGCTGTTCAGGCACAGTGTGACAGGAATCCTGCTGTTAGAACCTGTACCTAATGCTGTAGAGCTGATGACCTCTCCTGAAGCCCCACATCCATAAAAAAAGCTTTGGCTTGTCTTGCCAGCACAAGTTCACTTCCACAAGAAGCCATGCCACTTAACACAACCCTGATCTTTCATTCCAAAATCTCCTTCAACACACAAACACATAAGCCACAGTTGCCAACACCAAAGAACACATGCTTAGACAAACAAAACATCTCTAAAATACTAAACTAAGAAAAAAAATCTCTTAGAGGCCAAAATTGGACTTTTTCTTAAGAGCATGTTGCAAAAGCACAAGTTTCAAAAGACTCTCTAATAAGCCTACTCAGGTAATTCTTTAAATTAATACTTTACAGCCAGCAATAAAAAAAAGCTGGCACCACATTTCAATTCTACCAACTGCAATACATAAAAAGCAAGTGCCTTTTCTCTAATACAATTCTTCTGAGCCTGCAATGGGAATATCTACACAGAAACAACTGTATGGATCTGTTACAGCTGGGGGCACAGGAGGAAAAGGCTATTAAACCCAAACATCTGGGAGTGTAAGGAACACATGCACCTGAGAGACTGACAGCTGGGCAACTGTAAATGGGTGTTGGCAGCACAAACTGGAATGAAATGCAGAGGGTGAGTGATGCTCATTTTCTTATCACACTGCTTTTATATAAACACTTCCCAACTCAAAGCGTTTTGCCAATTACCCAGAGGAATCACTGCAACTGCAAGGGAAGCTGTGGTGCTATTTCTAGAATGGAATTTAGAAACATGTTAACATCACACAGGGAAAAAAAAGAAAAAAAAAAAAAAAAGGAAAAAAAAAATCAGCTTTAAACCAGAAGAGCACCATAGGGGTTTTCAAGCAGCCTGGAAGAGCTGTGGAAATTTTACTGCCTAGAAGAGTACTGAGGATTTCTCTTCCACAGCTCATCTGAAATACTGGCACATCATCTATGAAACTATACAGCCCTTTGGAGAGCAGCATGCAAAAATCCAGATATAAAAAAAACAACCCAACCCAAAATATACATATAACAGGTTTTTGGAAAATTCTCAGCCAGGCATTAACAAAAACTGACATACTATTCAGCTTTCAAGGAAGTCATAACTTTCTTGAGTCAGGAATCTCTCTCAAGAGAACTGTAAATACATAGGTTAAAGGCAACCATAATGGTTTAATATTCACATATTTCTTCCATTTTGTCACAGGACAGAAACTGCTCTAAGACAGATGTAGGAATTAAGACCACTTTCCTCAGTCACACAGTCTTGAAAAAAAACCATTTCCTTTTTGAAAGTTGCACCATAGATGACACATTACAAAAAGATATAATATCAGAGCCACTTCAGCAAACTTTCTCAGTGTAGACAGGGAGTGCAACAGTTCTTGCTGAAAGACTTAAAAGATAGCACCCGACTGATACAAATATTTTTATGCTCATGTGCTCTTACAATGCAGAGTTGAGACTAACCTTTTAAAGTTTCAGTTATGTAATAACAGCCAAATCTGAACTTCCAGTCACTTTACTAAAAGAGAGCAATTCAGCTATTCTGTCCCACTTCCCCACTAAACAAGGATTCAGGACAGACAGCCCATAAAGTTTTTTTAAAAAGCTAAACATAAACCCTTACTGATAGATTCCAACAATATTAACTCTTTTTTTGTTCAAGTTAAATTTCCTCCATTACTGTATTGAAAAGCTTCAGTGATTACTAAAGGACTTCAAATTAAACACAACTACGTGCCTGTGTAAAGGGTTCAAGAAAATGTCTTTGTTCTGTGAGACAACTTACACATCTCTGGAAGAACCTCACTGCCTCAGCATTTACCTGAAAGTCCAGAGCTCTGCTGGCTAAAAGGGAGAATGGGCAGCTACAAAATTAACCCCAAACTCTGACAGTCATAATGTGATATTATTGGCAAAACTTACAGTTTGTGATGGTTTGGTGGAGACCTGAACTTTCTCCTAAAACAACAGGCTTAAGAGACTAATTCTGTTCAATAATACAATTGTATACCTGAATTACCATTTGTAACAAGATTTCCAAAGCTTGTGTATGTATAGGAGTTTTAAGTTTTAATGAGTAACATTAATTACTTCCCCCTTCCCTGTTCTTAAGTGGGTTGTATCCAAGTTAAGCAGGAGTTGCTTTTTCCATTATACCTGCGTTCACTGAAAAGTTTAAGATGCAATTGATTTAGGGGTTTGAATTTTTCTAAATTTCAGTCTACACACAAGTCTACTCTGCCAGTTACCAACTCGGCTACAGTTTTAATTCATCCTTTTTCTGTTATGACTCTTCAGTAGTTCGACAAGAAGAGGTTTGTCTCCAAAAGTGTAACAGCCCCACTCCACTGCAAACCAGACTCAGGAGGCTGAGGGCAGTGAGAGAACCCACACTGGGAAAGATGAGACAAGACCTTCAGGTGCTCCACTAAGAGGAAAGATCAGCCTCTATATGACATTTTATATTATCCGAAAATATTACAAAATACTACAGAAATAGATCTGCTGACTTATTTAGGACACCGTGACCTACTTTAAAAGGTAAATCCCCAAGTATTCCCACTGACATTGCTTAGGTTTTGGGGATGGGTTTTTTGTGGGTGTTTTTTCACTCTTCAAGAAAAATATGAGTATACTACTCAACAATTAGTAGTCAGGCAAACCCCAAGATTCCTAAATACTAGTTCACACACTGCATATATAACATTTTCCTGTAAAAACCCATGTTGTCATATCACAGTTTTTCTTCCTGAGAAAACTTGGCAATAAGGGGATTTTCAGAACTAATCTGAACAGAGTGCACCAACTGATACCCCTCCACAATCCCTGACACAACTACAGCAACTCTCCAAAAAAAATGTTCTCGTTAAAGCTTTTTCCTAAGCAGCAATTACAAACAATACCAGATGGTGTATCATTTTGAATGACACGCACATGTAGTGACCAGGGTACAACTACCAGTGTTTTACATTAAATCCAAGCTAATTTTTGTTCATAATTTACTTAAACTGGGAAGTACTTGCCCTGTACCTTGGAAAACATATATTGTGTGATTTTTTTCAGAGATTATACTATTTAATATTTACCTGCTCACATTTAATAAAAGGAAGTCTTGCGAAAATTGTGAAAAATTAAGAAGTGACACTCAAAGGGTTGTAGATGTTTGAAAAGCAGTGCCTGGGTATGCTCAATGAAGACTGGAGCATGTTCATTGGGATTTTTTTTAACCCCTTACAGACATATTTAAGTATGATATTTCACATCTTTTTTTCCCTACCCCACCAAAGCATTCCTGCATTTCAGACACCAGCCACAAGAAAAAGATTTTTGTTTGTCTTCGACCAAAGTCTGAGCAAACGAATTACACCAGAACACAGAACTCATCACAGGAGGGGACCCTTCAGGAGACTGAGTGACAGCTCAAAACAGGTTTAGATCAAAAGACATTCAGAGGAACCTGTTAGTCAAAAAACAATCTCAGTTTATGTTACTCTCAAGAATTTTTCCATGTTTCCATTTTCTTATTTTTTGGGGGTGACTTTTGGTAGATGACATTCTTTTAAGGATATTTTCAAACCACACACTACCTCTTTTAAGATTCAGAAGCTTTCAAACTATTGAGCAAACTGTCACCACTTTCTGGCTTCCTGTTATGTTGCCATTTCTGGACTCAAGGGTTACCTTATTAACTTGTTCTACCACAGACACAACACAAGACAAGAAAAAGGTAAGGTAATGCCAAAAGGTAACTTTAAAAAAGAAAGTGTCAGTTACTCAGGTTTAAAGCTTTTAATTTCAACACAATAGCTGCAATATTCACTACTGTAGCTGGATCCCACACATTCAGATCAGTGACAAATGAAATATCCATTTGGTTATTTTTAACTGCTTGATCCACATCGAAAGGTGTCACACAAGTCTGTAGGAACAGACGAGTGTCACAGCATCACACACAGCCAAATTACCCTCAAACCATACAAAACCCACATCCCCTTCTCCCGAGAGCCTGAACAGCAGACTTCCCTTTAGTACCTTCAACTCGCACCAGGGCTGCAAAACTACCTGCCAGCCTCTGAAGAAATGGGCAAAAGGCTTCACGTCTTTTATCCCTCTCCCTAATGGAAAAGCACACTTATGTCACTTTTACTAGCCGGGGAACGGGTGTGCTGCGGAACGACCAAGGTTTGAAGCACGCAGTGCCCTTCTGAGCAAAGAGCAACTCCAATTGCTATGCTGTTATTAAAACCTGAAGGGAAGCAACATCACTGACAGTTTTGTAGACTTCAAGGGTAACTTTCTGCACCTTTTTGTACACAGTAAGGGGTTTTAACATATTGAATATATCGGCGGCAACATACTCTCATCGAGGAAAAATCCACTGGTCCACCTACGCCCTTCCCTTTACCTCGCTCCTAATCTTTGCACCTCGTTTCACGAGCCGCAAGGCAAAACGCTAAGATAATTCGGGAAATGACAAATATTTAACCGGCTACAGTCCAGCGGATGCACAGAAGGACAGAACAATACTTTAAAAAAATTGCATTCTGGCTCACCTTTTCCCCAGGTGCCAGATTAACAAGCGCCACCGTAGCCAGAGCACACGAGCTAAGAAGCTCTCACCGGGAAGAGCTCTTGAGGTTGGAATATTTTTGCTTCCCGGGCACCACAGGGCACCACAAACCTCACTCCCTCCACGTGGAAAATAAGTTCTGGAGTTCACAGCACTCAGGTCCACCCAGATTTACACGGCACCCCCCACCCCTCCCCAGGTGCGAGCGGCCGGCTCTCGCCTCCCGTCCACCCGCAGCCCCAGGGCAGCAAAGCCACCCCGGAGCTCCAACCCCGGCCCCGCCGCCGGGTCCTACTCACAGTCCAGGTGCTTCTTCTTGGGGCCCATCACCTCGTGGGTCGTCGCCTTGCACACAGCCTTGGCCACGGCCGAGCCGGTCACGCTGTGCTGCGCCGCCGTGATGCGGTCGGTGATCGACTGCCCCGACATCATCGCCGCGGCCCTGCCGGCGGCTCCCCCGCCGTCCCCCCAACAAGGCCGGGGCGGTGGCTCCCCCGCAAGGCCGGGGGCGAGCGCAGCCTCCCGGGGGGAGAGCGCCGGCGGCTCCCTCCGGCGGGAGCGCTCGCCGGGCTCCGCCTCAGCGGCTCCTCTCGGCCGCCGCCGCCACGGGGGCTCTTCCCGCTGCTCCGCGCTGCGGCGGCGGTGCTCCCTCGGCTCCCAGCGGCGGCGATCCCCCGGCTCCCGGCGGCGGTGCTCCCGCTGCTCCCCCGGTTCCCGGCGGCGCTCGGCGCTGCCGCTGCTCCTCCCGCGGGTGCGCCCCGGCTTTCCCTTTCACATTTGCGCTCGCAGACAAAATGGCGGCGGCCGCGGCGTCAGGTGACCGCGCGCCCGCCCCGCTCCCGCCCCGCCGCCCCTGAGCGCGGCCGGAGCCCGGCGGGAATGGGGGTGGAGAGGGGCCGGAGCCCGGCGGGAATGGGGCTGGAGAGGGGCAGGATGCCGCGGGAGTGGGGCAGGATGCCGCGGGAGTGGGGCCGGAGCCCGACCGGAGTGGGGCCGCCCCTCCCGCCCGGCCTCAGGTGTCCCGCGGACGGCGGGGACACCCCCCCTCCTCCAGGTAGCGCCCAGGTGTTCCGTGACCCGCCGCCCCCAGAATCACGGAGTCAGTGAGGTTGGAAAAGGCCACGGAGGTCGTCGAGTCCGACCTGTGACCGAACACCACCGTGTCAACCAGACCAGGGCACTGAGTGCCACATCCAGTGTTTCCTTACACGCCTCCAGGGACGGTGACTCCACCACCTCCCTGGGCAGCTCATTCCAATGTCCAATCACTCTTCCTGTGAAGGAATTCTTCCTAATGCCCAGCCTAAACCTCCACCGGCACAGCTTGAGACTGTGCCCTCTTGTCCTATCGCTGGTCGCCAACCCCCACTTGGCAACAACCTCCTGTCGGAGTTGCCCGACAGCTCTTTGTTCTGTGTGTGGGTGTGACATTAAAAATAAAACCTGCCCGGTCGTCACAGCCTGTCCGGCAGTGAGAGAAGCACCGGCGGCAGAGCCTGGGGTTGGGCTGTCGAGGGGTGACAGAGGGAATGATCAAACAGGGCCTGAGGTTGGATTTTCATCACAGACTTACAGAACGGCCTGAGTTGGAAGGGACCTTAAAGACCACTTAGTTCCACCCCCCTGCCATGGACAGGGACACCCTCAGGTAGACCAGGTTCTACTAGATTTTGGTGGGATGAGTTTTCCTGGGGAGCCCTGTGCAGCAGCATCAGTCTGCAGGGAGGCAGAGGTGTGGAAGGACCTCACGTAGGGTAATTCCCTCACAAGTTGCAGAGAAAGAATAAAAGCTCCTCAGAAAACTTTTCTCTTGCAGGCTTTGATTGCAGAAACAACATTTGGAAAAAAAGAGCCCAACCTCCTCTGCTGAGCCTGTTTCATGGGACTAGAGAATCATTTAGGTTGGAAAAGACCCCTAAGCTCATAGAGTCCAACCATCAACCTGGCACTGCCCAGCCCAGCTACGTCTCCAAGTGCCACATCTACATGTCTTTTAAATCCCTTCAGGGATGGTGACTCCACCACTGCCCTGTGGAGCCTGGTCCTGGTGAAGAATTTTTTTCCTAATATACAATCCAAACCTCCTCTGGCACAACCTGAGGTTATTTCTTGTTGTCCTATCACTTGTTACTTGGGTGAAGAGACTGCCCCCAAACTGTTACCAAACTGCAGCTGAACCACTGGTGGGTTCTCAACATCTTTGCAGCTACTTATATCAGCACAGCCCTGTGGGGGCTGCCATGGGGAAAACTAATTCCATCCCAGCCAAACCTTATACACTGAGGAAAAGCTGCAGCATCACCACTACTCAGTCAGAACACTCTTCCCAGGCCATTCCACAGAAGAATGTTTTTTTAACTTCTGCATTTATAGTACATTAATGTAAGTGTGAACACTCATACAAATAAAAGATGGAACACAGCAATAGTTATTTTAGGTTACAACTTTGAAGTAAAACCACAAAAAGTAAGAGTAATAAGGAGGCTGTTGAATACGAGTGTTATAAACAAGAATCTAGCAGCTTCTGACAGTCAAGTCATATTTTAGGGTACTGATTAAAGCTCTATTGCTTACATTATCCCTAGAGTGAGATGCTCCACAAATACGTGGGCTAGACACACACCCAACCGTCTGCTATAGCAATACATGTATAAAAGCAGTAAAGCAGGAAAACATTCCCTAGATGTACTTGGGCACCTTTTCTCCTTCCACAGCATGTAGGGGTTTTGCTTGGGCAGGACCAGGATGTTTAGCCAATCTGGTGTTAAGCAGCCAAGTGGCTTCTGCTAAATTTATATCCCACTGCTTCCATGCCCCACTGTCCAATACTGTCAGCATAGTCTTTAACAGTCCATTATATCTCTTATTCTTTCAGGATGCTTATGGATAATAGGGGGTGTGATGTACCCACTCAGTGATGTGTTTCTTAGCCCAGGAGTTCATGAGATTATTTTGGAAATGAGCCCCATTGTCAGATTCAATTCTTTCTGGGGTACCATGTCACCACAAAAAGTGCCTGTCAAGGCCTAGGATGGTGTTTCATGGCTTGTTTCTTTGAGGGCTGTTATGGGGAAAATTAAGTCCATTCCAGTCTGACCCGATACAGGTATAAAGAGAACAACAAAGGCAAGCAGGGTCTCTTTCAATGCCACTGAAAAGCACAATGACACTGAACAAATATTAGTGCTCCTATGAACAGGGTGGGTAACATTGTGAATGAAGGATTTCTATAGCCCTAAGGGCATAAATGCATTAAAACATGGTCACTGTTATTAAAATATTGAACATTTCCTGTGCTGGAAAAAGTTACAAACTCTTTAGTCTGGCTGGCAGCAGGCAGTTTCCAGCTGCCTTATTTTTGTTTTAAGGCTTGTAGTTTCTGGGAAAAAAAAAAAAAAAGATCTTAAATCTTCAAAGCCTGAGGAAACATCAAAACAGTAAGAAAAGAAGAGATGGAAAGATTAAACACACATTACATATGTCTACATCTCTTAGGGCCTGTCTAAACAGGGAAGCTGTTTTGCAATAAAGGAGAGTATGAGCTGAAGCACAGTGGCTATTCTATGCTACTTTCTTCCCCAGTAGGGACTCACTTATTTTATTTTGTATTAGGAAGCCTAAATTTCACATAAAATGAGTAGAGTTTTTCCCATTACCATGGCTCTGTCTTTACTTGATGTGCTAGTCAGGCCCAAATATGAGTTCAAATGCCCCCCTCAGTCAGTGCATTGACTTGCTCTGGGTTCAGGCCATCCTGTGCACTGCATGGATGGCTGCAGGTAGAATCACAGAATCACTTAGGCTGGAAAGACCTTTAAGATCATTAAGTCCAACCACTAACCCAGCACTGCCAAGTTCACCACTAAACCATGTCCCTAAATACCACTCTACATGTCTTTTAAACACCTTAAGGGATAGTGAGTCCTCCACTGCGGATATTTTCCTAATATCTGCTCTAAATCTCGCCCGGCACAACTTGAGGCTATTTCCTCTTGTCCTGTCCCTCGTTACTTTGTAGGAGAGGCTGCCCTTCAGTCTAATGGAACAAGTCTTTCTCTTGGCCACTCTCCTGCATCTATGCTTTGGTTCCTTTTTGTAAAGATGAAAGCTGGAAATTATATGTGCAGTTTACCTCTCATTCATTTTGCTGCCCTCTGTTTACTGTAGGGCAGGTAATGAGGGAACCGTAGTCCAGGCATGGATGCACATAAATAGTGCTGGGGGGGCAGTGGCAGTGGAGGCAATGGATGTTTCTGGGCTTCTGCCATGACTGAATGACACAGATGGTTTTCCAGGGAAATGAGTATTTTAGTAATGAGTAGTGAATACGCTTCGGGCTGACTGCACCTACGGCCCCGGGAATGCAAACAGTTTAGCAGCAGGTTTGTCAATAAATACCATCTGCTCAACAGCACTGAGTCCAAAATATTGCAGAACCTACCTTTCTGGTAGCTGCTGTTTTGCTGATAGAGTTGAGATAAAAATCATTACTAATTTTTTTTTTTTTAAATACTGTGATTGTGATCTAAAATCACAAAACTAAATTTAATCGGACTTCTTCAATCCCAGTTTAAACTCAGGAGAGATAAACTGTTGTCATTAGCATTTTTCATGGTGGCCAGTAGGACGTCTGAACGGAAGGGTGAGCTGTAAGCAAAGCTGCTTCTCTCGCAGTTCAGGCCATGGAGGTGTCTGAGGAACACCTTGATTCCACGGTGGCCTGCAAGGAAAGGAAACACAACTCCCAAGCAGCTGTGGCAGTGGAAGAGCTGGAGTTCCTGGAGGCTGCAATGGGGGCTTCATGTGAATTTTCTAACTCAGCACTCCAGTCACCAAAAATGAATGAATCCCTGCCCCAGCCTTTCTCCCTGCAGGGGCACTGCTTGGCTCCCTGTTTTCTGTGAGTTTTGCCAAAGCAGAGTGACTTGGGGATCTTTATTGCTGGCAGGTGTGGTTGAAGTTGCTACTGGATGTGGAGGTTTCTGGAAGAGAGACAAGTCATCAACATCATCTAAAAAGCCAGAGTGAGTTTCAGTGTTAGTTAACTAATTCTTATCTGAACAGAGAGATGAGAGAAAAAAGCTCCATGTATTGTTGAACAACTCAGATTCATGAGCACCATATTCAGTCTCCTTTAAAGATCTTTATTCTCTCTGAGGTGTAAGATGTTGATGAGAAGTTGAACTTCAGAACTGGGTCTCCCTACAGCTGAACTCATCCAAACCTTGCATAACTGCTAAATATGAGAAGATCAGATCATGAGCCCCCTCCTCCAGGACCTCAACTCAGTAGGTGCTGTGTTGTGATCAGGTTTGCCTCAGGGCTGGTTTTGGAGCCCACAAGATGCTAACATTGGCCACAACCCCTGTGGCCTTTAAGCCCCTTTTCCAAGAGCCCTGCAGACATGAAATTTATGCTCAACAGCATAGGACTGCTAAAAGCCACATGCTGGTTTTCTCCTCTCCTGTCACAGGAGGGTAGGTCACGCTTCCTCTGCCCCT